GACTTTGTGGAGGCTTTTACTCCAAGTTTTGACCCCAAGGCTCAACATATAAATAGAGGGGGAGGGCTAGCACCAAAGACACATCAAGAAACACCAAGCCGTGTGCCGGCAACCCCGTCCCCTCTAGTTTATCCTCTGTCATAGTTTCCGTAGTGCTTAGGCGAAGCCCTGCGGAGATTGTTCTTCACCAACACCGTCACCACGCCGTCGTGCTGCCGGAACTCATCTACTACTTCGCCCGTCTTGCTGGATCGAGAAAGCGAGGACGTCATCGAGCTGAACGTGTGCAGAACTCGGAGGTGCCGTGCGTTTGGTACTTGGATCGGTCGGATGGTGAAGACGTACGGCTACATCAACCGCGTTGATAAACACTTCCGCTTAGCGATCTTCAAGGGTATGAAGATACACTCTCCCTCTCGTTGCTATGCATCACCATGATCTTGCGTGTGTGTAGGAATTTTTTTGAAATTACTACGTTCCCCAACAATGCTTAGGATTGGGTCTTGTCCATCACATCATTCTCCTAATGATATGATCCCGTTATCAATGACATCCAATGTCCATAGTCAGGAAACCATGACTATCTGTTGATCAACGAGGTAGTCAACTAGAGGCTCACTAGGGACATGTTATGGTCTATATATTCACACATGTATTATGATTTCCGGGTAACACAATTATAGCATGAATAATAGACAATTATCACGAACAAGAAAATATAATAATAATCATTTTATTATTGCCTCTAGGGCATATTTCCAACAGTTCACACTTTTAGAAAGATCGTGTAATATAATATGAATAGTGTTTGCACATATTTGTAAAAAAATATTCATGTATTTTTTAAAAGGATTCACAGCTTTAAAAAGTTATAATATAATTTGAAAATTATTGATTTACTTTATAAAAAATATTCTTCTGATTTCAAAATGTATTATATTTTATAAAATATCTAATTAATATTAGCGATTTCTTAATCTAAGAAAGCAAGGATCAATATATATACTTGCAAAAGTGACAGACACTTGATTTTCAGATTATTAATGCAATTTTGTACATAACAAGTAAATTGAGTTTCAGTTTCCTAGAACAAATACATAACAAATAAATAATTTCTGGATTATTAGTGCAGACCCTCGACATCCTACTGAATCATGAACATAACACATCATGATATCTACTACTACTGAATCATCAACATAACACATCATGATATCTACTACTATTGAATCATGAACATAACACACCATGATATCTACTACTGTTGAATCATCAACATAACACATCATGATGTCTACTACTGAATCATCAACATAACACATCATGATATCTACAACTCAACGGAGGAATTTGTTGTAACCCTGTAGTTATCCTAGGCCCATGCAGTAGTGCGGAAACATCATGTTATCATTATTTTTATCACGACAGCTTCTACTACCCACTCTTGTAAAACAGAACAGTTTACTTGCTAGTTTTGTGGTTTATAGTTCACACCTTTAGCTAACTCTATAAGGCACCAAGGAGGTGAAAAAAGGAAAACAGAAGCACACCATCTTCCCTTGTACTCCCTCCATTGCTAAATATTTGTCATTTTAGAGATTTCAAATGGACTACCACATACGGATGTATATAGAGTTATAGACATATTTTAGAGTAGATTCACTCATTTTGCTTCGTATGTAGTCATTTGTTGAAATCTCTAGAAAGACAAATATTTAGGAACGGAGGGAGTACCATACACAACACCAGCTAACTCTATTGGCACTCTACCAAGGAAACGAAAAAAGATTATCAAGCAATACTCACTGAAGATTAGAAAGAAAAAGAAAAGACAAAATGGTTCCTTGGTAATCTAAGATGAGAATACATTGTAGAGTGATGAGATATAGAGAAAGGTGGGTTTCCAATATTTTAAGACGGTCGGACACTTTTTATAGGATAGAGTAGAAAAAGGATGCATACATAGAGATTTGACAGAGAAGGAAATAATAAGTACCTTGCGAGCAGTAGTAGTCGGTGGAGATTAATGGAGTGAGGGAGAAGAGGCCGCCTGCCATCTCGTCGGAGGGGATCTTCTTGGAGGCAGTTCCCTTTGCCAAATTGCAAATCGCATGTCTTCATGGATGAATGGAAACATATGGATGGATTGATTGAGATTATCTGTCCATGGGGTGATATGGGGGACGTTGGATCGAGGAGAAAGGAGGAGCAAGAGGGGAGGGATTGGATAGAGAGCAAGCCCATTTACAGGGAGAGGCGCAACAGGATAGGAGCCAGCAAGGAACACGGAGAGACATCTCGGATGGAAGCCCGATTCGTGTGAGACGAGCGAGAGCCAATGTGTCGATTGGATCACACGCGCGGACAAACGAGAGGAAAGGAGGGAGGGAGTAAAGGAGGTGGTGCATTGGTTTGGGAGAAAAATGAAGTTGAAGAGTGCCTTGAAAGATGGAAGACATTTGTTGTGTTCCTTCAAATAAGCGGCAACCTGTCCGTGGGATTTTCACAAATAACGCCAAATAGGGTTTCTATACGCCGATAATTTTCACACATGTGGCATGTAGTAACACCGCCCACACGTTTTTGACACCAAAGTTGCCATCCTGAAAAAAAAATCTTAAAAAAAGCTGAAACTTGCCATCTTTTCCCGAATTTGCCATGCTATATAACTAAACTTGCCATCTTTTGTAACTAAAGTTGTCATCAAAAACATGTGGGTGAAATTACTTCGTGCCACACACGTGAGCATTATCAATTTTTTTTGGAAACACTTGGGTACATACGCATGATCAGAACTATTCATCAGACGCCATCGATTTGTATCTTGATCTCACGGCTGAAAGATGCTCTATCTCCATCCGGTTTTCTGGCCCACACCCCCATAATCTCTTCCCGAATTAATCACCCGAGCTAGTAACTCTCTCCTGTCCCGCTCGTGCTCAGTGTCGATCTCTCCATGCCCCTCGCCGCCTCTGCTCTCTCCCCCAACATGAGTTCCTGAGCCACCCATGTACTTCTCCGGTGCTCCATCCCATCCGGCGGCCGCGTGGAGACTTGCTCACCACCTGCTCACCGACGAGCTCGTAACCTCCCTCGCCGTCGTGTCTATCTCCACCAGGACCGGGCCCTGCTACACCTGCAGATTTGGCCTCCGAGAACGAACCTTGCTGGAGCGCCGTCTTGGTTGGAGAAAGAGGCCAGCACTAGTGGAGTACCGCAGGATTCCCCGCCCCATCCTCGTCAGATCTAGGTTTGGATAATCTCCATTTGATGCTTTTTAAGTCATTGGTCGCTAGTTGATTCCTAACATAATTTCTTTCTGAGATTTATGTGATATCTGTCTATGTTAATATTTTGATTTATTCCCTGTTAGTCAGTGTGAATTTATTTTGTGTCGTACTGTTGGATCACTAAGTCTGTCGTTCAATTCCTGTGAAATTGGTAATACCTCCGTCCGAAAATACTTTATCCATTTTGATGACAAGTATTTTCGGACGGAGGGAGCATGTACAGCACTCAAATATGCCCCCCTAGTTGGTAGCAATTTTAGCTTTTCTTCCGCTTTTTAATTTCCAAGGTTCCAAGTAACACTAATGATATGAGTGCACTTTTTTGTGCTTCTTACCATGATGCATCTAGATTTTAATATTTTTGTTTCTTTTGGGCTAGATAATTGCATCCTCTGGACAACAGAAAATAGATTAAAGTTGTATGCATGCGACACAAGATAAGCATCCTTTTGTTGGCCACAATATTAGTTTTTTTTCCATTATCAATGTTTTATCTTCCAACCAAGAATAGCACTGTACTCTCTAACTGACATGTTTTATGCTTCCTAAAATTTGTCATAGTTTGTTTAACAAATAAGCTTCTTGCTGCTGATACCTTTTTTCCATACAATTGAAATCTTAATTTATTCATGAAGCACAACTTTATGCATCTGATTATGCTAGCAATCAAATATTTATGTTGTGAGAAAATGAAGCTATTGCCTCCTGTCAACCATGTTTTCTCTAGTTTCTTCCATATGATTCCATGGTAATGAATTTTTGCTTGAACCATTGTAAGTGTGTGCTACTTTTAATGTACAAACTTTTTTGCTTCAACCATTATCAGATATCAGTGTCTGCTTCAACCATTGCGAGTGTTGCTTCTGTTCGTATATTTATATTATACAACCATTTTGCTTCTTTTAGTGAATTTGCATCAGCCACTTAATTGTATGCTTCCTTATTTCTCCCCAAATGCTTCAGTTTTGCAGATTCTCAATGATGATGTAATGCGTTGAGTTCGAGATCAACCCGACACTGCTCTAACTTGTCGGTTTACTAGGAACGATGTTGAGCTCGTGCCAGCCATTGAGCTACGAACGACGTGGGGTCTGAGCCGCCACTAGTGAAGGAAAACCCAGGTGCCACCTCACCCCCCACCCCTGGGTTACAACCCCATCTCCTCCTGCCGTCCCACCTCCGGGTGGTGGCTTGAGCTGCCACAGGGTCGGTTTTTAGCTTAGTGGCTAACACGGTACTTCGATTAATTATGTTTTCAGGGTTTAGATTAGATTGACGACACAAACCTAGCTGTTTATTATTGTTACTGGCTCACTTCATTGACTTATATACTGAACTAAAGTATCCAATGCACCTAACCAATTGGTGCCACCAGTGCACCCAGTTAAAAAAATAATCCTTTTTACTAATGTTGGAAAATTCTGAAAAGGCATTATGTTGTAATAGTAATAAGAATCTACCATACCACAAAATTTTAGATTCATATTCGAAACATAGCACGAGAAACAAAAATGACAAATTCATCGATGATAAATAAAATGGCCTGAGATCAGTCTGAATTGGAGTAAAAAATTAAACTACGATGCACATATATTATACTTACAATACTTACATCCTACAAAAATTCGTGTTTTTTCCATGCTTCTAAAGCAGATTAAGGAGATCGGGTGCACAGGTAGCACCGAATCCTCTGGTGTGTTCTTCTAGTTCATGACCATGGAAGGTATTCCAGTGAGTGCAGCGATGGGGGCCCTGAACTCCGTCCTGGAGAAGCTGGCCACTCTAGTGGTCGATGAGTACAAGCTTTGCAAGGTGATGGGCAGTGAGATCAAATTGCTCACAGATGAACTCACGTTCATGCATGCGTTTCTCCTGAAAATGACGGAGGTTGAGGATCCTGATGTGCAAGATATGGTTTGGATGACGGCGGTGCGTGAGCTGTCCTATGATATAGAGGACTCCATCGACGACTTCATGCAAGACGAAGACGCTAAGCCAGATGGCTTCATTAAGAAAATGATGCACATGATGGGGATGTGGGGAAAGAGGAAGCGTCACCATCAGATGTTCCTAGACTTGAAGAAACGAGCCATTGAGGTGGGCGAGAGGAGTGAAAGGTACAAGACTCGTCAGGTCTTCTCGAACACCAAAAATGGAACTGTTGACCCTAGAGCTCTTGCTATCTTTGAGCACGCATCAAAGCTTGTTGGAATTGATGAACCCAAGGCCGAACTAATCAAACTATTGACCGAAGAGAATGGATGTGCGTCAACACAAGTGCAACCGAAAATGGTGTCCATTGTTGGGTCCGGAGGATTGGGCAAGACAACTCTTGCAAACCTAGTGTATCAAGAGCTTAAAGAGAAATTCAAGTGTAAGGCTTTCGTATCAGTGTCACGAAACCCAGACATGACAAATATATTGAGAACCATTCTCAGTGAAGTAAGCTGCCAAGGTTATGCTCATACAGAAGCAGGAAGCATACAACAATTGATAAGCAAGATTAGTGATTATCTAGTGGACAAAAGGTAATATTGTATTTTTATTTACTTTTCACCTTTTGTGTATAAATAACTATTAAGTTTTTGTCACATGAAAACTACACCGACAAATTTATCACCAAAATAGTCCCATAATGGTATTTTATGTTTTTTGGGGAAGAAAAAATATATAATGGTCAATTGTATGCAAACCCTTCTTTGTAAGTACTTAACTAGTTAACTAGATTGTTGCATTTGGGGGCAATTTAAGGCATGTATAAGTGGTAAGAGCATAAAATTAGCATAGGCCTTTGGTCCATGCTTCTCAGAATGCATGCACCAAAAGGGAACCTTCCTTATCACAATAATTAGCATCATCGATTCTGTAATCAAGCATCTATGCTATTAATATGTACCATCTTATATGACCTACCTAGGAAATAAAATTTTGTTAGCACCCTTTTAAATGCATATGCCTCTGTTGTTTTTTTTAGCCAGGTGGCCTCTTTATGTTGCATAGAGCTCCCATTTACATTTTATATGCTATCAATGGGAATTTGTAAGTTTCTCTTTCTTTTTATTTTGCTGTGATTTTAAGCCATACAAACTAATCACTCATAAATCATGTGCAGGTATTTTCTAGTGATTGACGATATATGGGACACTAAAACATGGGATGTTATTAAGCACGTGTTCCCCATGACAAATTGTGACCCTTCCCTGGACCCTGCGCAAGCGGGAGCTACATGCACCAGGTTGCCCTTTATAATAATCACCACTACTCGTATGGGTGATGTCGCTTGTTCATGTTGTTTATCAATTGGTGGCCATATCTATAATATGAGTCCGCTTAGTATGGTGCACTCAAGGCAACTATTTCACAAAAGATTATTTGACTCCAAAGAAGACCTCCCTTCCCACCTTGAGAAAATTTCTGAAGAAATTCTGAAAAAATGTGATGGTTTACCTTTGGCAATCATTGCTATATCTAGTTTGTTGGCTAATAAAGAGAGATCAGAGCAACTATGGAACCAAGTGAAAGATTCAATTGGCCGCGCACTTGAAAGGAATCCTAGCATTGAAGGAATGATAAAGATACTGTCACTTAGTTACTTTGATCTTCCTTCTCATCTGAAAACCTGTCTCCTGTATCTCAGTATATTTCCAGAGGATTCTATTATTCAGAAGAAAGTCTTAATATGGAGATGGATTGCCGAATGATTCATTCAGAAAGATAGCATATATTCGTCATATGAGTTAGGAGAGAGGTGTTTTAATGAGCTCATCAATAGGAGTTTGATCCAACCTGTGAAGCTGAACAAATATGCTAAAGTGCTTACTTGCCGAGTTCATGACACAATTCTTGATCATAGTATCCAAGTCCATTGAAGAGAACTTTGTTACTTTCGTTGGTGTCCCCAGCTTAACTATTGGGACACAAAGCAAAGTACGTCGGCTCTCAATGCAAGTTGAAGGGGAAGGAAACTCTATCGTGCCGCTGAGCCTTACATTATATCATGTCCGATCACTCAATGTGTTTGGGGTTGCAGTGGAAATCCCTTCAATGATGGAGTTCAGACATTTGCGTATTATGGACTTTGGTGGATGCCACCAATTGGAAAACCACCATCTTGCAAATGTAGGGAGGCTGTTTCAGCTAAGGTACCTCAACATTAGAAGGACAAAGGTAAGCGAGCTCCCAGAAGAAATCGGATGTCTACGGTGCCTAGAGATGTTGGACATAAGGTCCACCAAGGTAAAAGATTTACCAGCATGTATTGTCAATCTTCAAAAATTAGCACATTTACTTGTTAACCAAGGTGTTAGATTTCCGGTTGGAATTACAAAGATGCAAGCACTCGAGACGTTGAAATGGTGTGCCTGGCAGTCATATATCTTCTGGCAAGAGCTTGGACAGCTTAAGAATCTAAGAAAGCTGGACCTTAATCATGATGGTGCGCAAGAACACAAAGAAGTTATTGCTTCTTCTCTCCATAATCTATGCACACAGAATCTTTGTTCTCTAACTATTTGGAATGATAATGACAGCATCTTACTGAATACATTGTGCACTTCTCCGTCGCTTAACATCCAGAAACTTTCTACCCGGTCTTGTGTCCTTCCAAAGGTTCCGGATTGGGTAGGATATCTTGTCAACCTGCAGAAGTTACGGTTGCAAGTGAAGAGAATCCGGCATGAAGATCTCTGCATTCTTGGAGCATTACCCAGTCTGCTCATTTTGTGTCTCGAAAACAAGGAGAATGGGGAGAATGAATCTTTAGATAGAAGGCTGGCAGTCAGTCGTGAAGCTGGATTCCGATGCCTGAGAGTGTTTACTTATTTCGTGGAGGGAGACAGGATGGATCTCATCTTTGCATCAAGATGTATGCCCAAGTTAGAAAAACTGAAGACTGTCTTTCTCGGCAGTTTTACAGATGAGTCTCACAGGAGTGCTGGTGCTTTGTATTTCGGGATTGAAAACCTCCCTGGCCTCCGTACTTACAAATTTGCCATACGTTGCTTTGGTACGAAAAGGAGCAATGCTGACGCTGTAAAGGCTTCCGTGGAGAGATTAGTCAGCACGCATCCCAACAACCGCCTTAATCTGATCTTTGAGCATGGCCCTGTTCAGTCATGAATTAAGACCAGGCGTACATGTCTGTATCTTCTCCTTCTCTAGATTTTTTTATAATATATATACTTTACCAGAAAGTTCAGAGTACTCCTACATATCTCTGTCTTGAACTAAATAGCTCATAAAGTCTTTTAGCTTCTAACTGTCCCAATCATTTGCAGCGGTACCGTCCTCAAGATGTTTCGGTAGCAGATTGGGTATTTATTTCAGTGTCCTGGCTGATATTTGACAGCCACACTAGTCTCTCATTGAATGGACTCAAGAATATGCTGCTGCACTTCATGATGTGGTTGAGGGGTTCTGCTCGATATTAGCGGGGAGTCTTCTGTGGCTGGCATCAACAGTCCCGGTACAGGCCACACAACATCTCTCTTAGTTATAAGCATTGTATGAGCAGAGTTGCTTGTTGGGTGCACACTAGGTCCGGGGCACACTGCCACTTCAGGTACTAATTCCCCAAGTTTTCCTGTCTCACTTGAGTTGTTGCCTGCAATTGTTTCAACATGCTGTAGTATTTTGCTTTGCACTTAAAAAAGAAACGACACTTTTGTCCATGTCAGTCACTAACAAGATGCTACTGATTCTTCTCCTCATGACCACTCTCGGATTCAGGCGGTTTTCTTGTGTGGCAACTTGCTGGAGGTTAGAGAACTCATAGTTTGGAGGGGACCGAAGCCCCGTATAAGTATATGTGCTGAGAGATTACTCTTCTTAGTTGCACCTTCTGTGAGCCGATTTGTTTGGTGTTCTTTTTGGTTGAACAGGTCTGTATCGGCCGTATTAATTTGCACTTTGTAAACAGGTAATCAGCTACACTAGTCGTGTGTTCAATTAGGTCCCCCAACAATGTTCATCCAATTAATGCTTATACCTTTCCTCCACTGATCATTGAAAATGGCCATGCAAATGTATTCCGACAGTAGGTTGGCGTCTTGTCGTTCGATTGCTGATGTTTCGTTATAATCTTTATTGTTGCTGTTTGGACATTTGCGCTGTACCAAGTTCCAGTGCCTGGTTTTATTTCTACGAGAAATCGGCAGGAGCACTGCCTTTTCATATAGAAGAAGAAAATAGACGGGTCATGTACATGGGTGACAAGTTTTTTTGGAAGGAACTTGACGAAAACCCCTAGTCATTGACACACACACACACACACGCAAATTAACCAATACCCTTGCTGGCTTGTGGTGTAGCGAAAGCCATCGCCCTTTGGTTTATACCCTCAAAAGCATCTCTTCTCCCACATTCGCACCTAACCTACTTTCAGAATTACGCGCTCTATATAAGTGCTTGAGTTAGCATTGCAAATTTGAGCACCCTCCCGTTGCACAAACTGTTAGGCTTCCTAGCTAGTTTGCCAATCCAAATACCCAGGCTTCCTAGTTAGTTTGCCAATCCAAATACCCCAGGAAGCAGACATCTTAGCCAGCAGGCGACAATGGCAAAGAACTATTCAGCCTTGGTTTGGCTGATGCTGATCCTCCTTGTATTACTGGTTTTTGTTGGTGGCATCCTGACCATCCAGATGCGTCAACAGGCGTAAGCTGCTGTTTTTGCATAAACACAAGATATTTTTAATGCCTAAAATTAAGTTATTACTCTAGCTACTTGTTTTTGTTCATCATTTGTGGCAGCTGAGATTCAGCAAAACTGCCCGCCAATCCATGGAGGCTCATAAATACTCATTGGGCAGGATCTCTCCTTGGTGTAAGAAGTTCTGTACGTGAACCAAATACTGATATGTTCGCGAGGTGTGAGGTGTCAATATGTGTATGTTTGTATTGTGACCCGGTGTATGAATAATGTCGGTGTGTATATGTTCGTAGTGATGTTTGTATATTGTGACATGGTTTATGAATAATATGGGAGTTCTCTGCTCATACACGAAGAAAACTGTTCAGGCTCACCTGTTACGAGTACATGTTTGGCATATGTCTCGTTAAAAAGGTATTTGTGTAACAGTTGTATTTGGCTGTATGTCTCATTAAAAAGGTATTTGGCGTATGTCTCACCTGTTCAGGCTCACCAAATATTGCAACATTTTGAACTTCAAAATTTTGCAATCTTTTCTATTTTTAGGATTATTAAATCTTTTTCGAAGATTTCAGAACATGTTTCAAAATAGCAAAGTAAGATGTAACAGTTGCACTCGTGTTATGTTCATTACCATGTGGGAGTATAACATTATAAGCCACTCAACGAAGTAATGTTGCATGGACTTAATGTTTACCTACATATATTATTATACTGGTTGCAGCAAGATCACTCATAGTTGTGCAGAGTTTGATACCCATGATCTATAACAGTATACTGAGTTCATTTGACCCACCAACCCAGATATGCATCTCCAAGTAGAGCAACATGAAGCATTAAAGAATTGATACCAATTTTGTAACCAATCTGCAAGTTGAGCCATCACTAAAGCAAAAAATACACAACTACAAAATACAACCACATGCTTTGCAGATTTGTCCTAAGCAACCTGGCAGAATATCAATCAAAAAATGGACACACCATAAACAACTTTTTCTTTTCATAGTGGATCACACTAAAAACAGGAGTACCAACTTCCAACATGATGTTGATCACGAGCGAAAGAGGGGAATTTCATCAGTTCCTTCTCTAGGAACATCAAGCAAGTGAGACGCACTGGAGTTCATTGCTGGAGCTTGTCCCCCAAACTGGAGTGCAAGGGAACATTGCCTGAGCTCATCGAGATCTTACCATCATAATATGTGTTAATTCTTGGAGAGTCAATTGTATTTTTCAATAAAAAATAATCATGCTTGGAGAATATGTGATTTCCAACTGGAAAAAAATGAAGGATTGATGTCTGTATATTTTACTGGTGTAAAAAAGTGTGGAAAACGACAATCCAATCAGGCAATAAAAGAGTCTGCTCTCGCAAAACTACCGTTGCTCCACTTGACAACTAGTGCAAGCGAACAAAGTTGGTGCCTTGTCTTAGAACATACAGTATAAAACCTTTGTCAAGATGGACCGTTGCATGCTAACATGCATATATATTTGGACAAGCTTAGTAACAACTGGCGTAGCTCTTTGCCCTTGCTCTCAGTGATGGAGCCATGGACTGTTACCATCATCCTTTTTAGAACTGTTGCCCAACTGAATAACCGTTTCAAAAGAGCGATTTCATGCTCAGTTCCTACAAAGCCCAAGATCCATACTTCTTCGAGGCAGTTCAGCCAGAGTTCTTGATCAGATCAGATCCTCCAACATTTGAAGCTGAAAACATCTAACCTGAAGGTAAAGCTCTGCTCCAATTTTGCTGAGCTAGATTTCTGGTGGAAATATCCAAGTTCCATTGCAGAAGCAAGTTGTATTTCCTGTAAAGAATAACATAATCAAATAGTGGTCACAGATCATGATGGCTTGAACTTGCATAAAGAAGGCAACCAAAAGAGAAGCGCCTCCAGGCCTCTCATATGTCAACAGCAAAACCAGAGTCAATAGGAAAATCACAAGATAGTTTGAGAGGCAACAGTTTGAATACTCTCGGACGGCACATGCCTGCACAATTCATTACAAAAAAATACTATATATCACCGACATCTATATGTATAATACATCAAACTGGTCTTGACGTTCATCTGGATCAATGTAAAAGTAGCAACTAATATAATTTACCAGCATACTAAAGTGGACGGTTTTGAAGTTTGGGGTTTGGATATTAGACTTTGGTGGTAGTTCAGAGTTATGATATGGACTTCTCTCTAGCGGATGTGATTGTAACTATTAATTGTTCCCCTGTAGACTGTAGCCTTTGGAGCATCAGAAGTCCCGAAAACGTTCCAGATCCGCAGTTCCTCATCTGTCGCAGCAGATGCCACTGTGCAACCATCAGGGCTCTGCAAAGGTCAACAAAAGACAACCATAATAAGCCATCTGTGCACACAATATGTGTCAACTTAGCTACAAGCATAGGGAGCAAAGATTACCTGGGCCATGTAGAGGACAGGGTAAGTATGGCCATTGAGTTCAGCCATCTTAACCATCGACGGATACTTCCATAGGGTGAGCTGATACTGCATGAATCCATGCGAGCTCAACAGCTCTCTGTCATTCTTGTTCCAGAGCAGTGCACACACTTGTGACCCAGTGTCGACAGAGTTAAGGCATGCGCCAGTTTGTGTGTTCCAAAACTTGATGCATCGGTCATTTACGCCAGCGCCGGATGCCAGCAGGTTGCTCTGGAATGGGCACCATGCAAGCGCCTTCACAGCAGCCAAGTGGTCGTCAAGCCTGTGTAACCATTGGGTGCGACCTGTAGACTGTGCAGATGATGCCATAGACACATCCCATATGTGGAGGAGGTTGTCATTCCCACCGCTGGCCAGCTTCTGGCCTGATTCTGACCACTTAAGTCCACACACCTCCCGCTCGTGCCCATTGTAAGTCTGCACAGCATGGTTCCTGATCCTCATATCATTGTTCACAATCTTGCCGTCCATATCACCAACATCAATGAGCGCCACCAGAACAAAGCGTGCCGTACCTGAGGGATGTATCGACGCGGCTTCACCGGTTTGTCCTGGATGGAAGCCACATCAGCATGCAGCTCTGCGAGGAAGCTGTTCGCAGGCTCGGGCAGCCTGTTCTGGAATGCGAGGATCCTGGTGCGGTTGTTGAGCAGCTTCTCGGGTAGCAGTCTCCGATACGCCTCCTTGGCCGGCGACGCCATCGCCGCGTTCTCCTTGTCCTTCCTCGGCTCCGTCAGAAGGTAGTGCGCCATGTCCATGTCCATCGCGGACCTGTTGGGGATGAACCTGTCGCCCTGGAAAGCAAGAAGATTTAAACCCGTTCAGTCAGGCATTTCGTCGAACGGCCTCCACGCACAGGACGCAGGCGAAGGGGGGGCACGCGATGGAGAACTCACATAGCGCTTGACGGCAGGGCTGCCGGACGGCGAGCAGAGCGACGGCATGTAGGGGCTCGAGCCGGCTGATGGGGTTACGTACCTAGGGTAGGGTCACGGACCTGTCCCAAGTAACTTACCCTAGGACATCCCTAGAAGAGGTCGCCTTCCAGTCGACCAACGAGGACACACTCGACTGGCCTGAAGGACTCGACCACGAAGACTCACTCGACCACCAGGAGGTCAAGAGGCACTCTGCACCGCAACGGTCTGTAATTAAGTAGACTTTATGATAGTAAAGGCACTTTATCTGGGGCGTTACCAGTAACGCCCCAGACTTAACTCACCTTAAACCCTCTCCTACGTGGGCTGGCTGGGGTCCTGGCGCACTCTATATAAGCCACCCCCCTCCACAGGCAGAAGGGTTCGGCACCTTGTAATCCATACATTCATAATCCACTCGACCGCCTCCGGGCTCCGAGACGTAGGGCTGTTACTTCTTCCGAGAAGGGCCTGAACTCGTACATCCTTTGTGCTTACAACCTCTCCATAGCTAGGACCTTGCCTCTCCATACCTACCCCCCACTCTACTGTCAGGCTTAGAACCACGACAGTTGGCGCCCACCATGGGGCAGGTGTTTTAGCGATTTTGTGGAGAAGTTGCGATTCTTCCGATTATTTTCATCATGGTGTCTGCTGGAGTTTTGATCGAGGGTCAAGAGATCCGTCTCGGCACTCTCACCTTCATCGCTGACGACTCCGCATGGCTCCAAGAGGCTCCACTCGACGTAGATGCGCTCCCCGTCCGCGGTGCGACGCATTTTCGCGCATGTGTCCGCGGCGTTCTGCTGCGGCAACCATCGACCCAGTATCGGTCGGCTCCTCCGTCTTCCACCCTCCCAGTCTCCCGCCAGCGCAAGCGCTCAGGCCGGTCGAGGCTTCAGCGATGGGTGAGTCACGCGGTGGCTCGCCAGTCGACCACTACACAAGTTGCGGCAATCGAGCCCAACGAATCTCTCTACGGCTTGTTCGATCAGTCGACTGGCTCCGGAGAGACTGCATCCGAGTGCGGAAGCAGTGATCCAGCGGCGGAAATCCTGATGGTCGACGGGCCCCACAGCCCTCCTGGCTTCGCCCGCGGTGGTGGAGCAGGTGACGGCGGCGACCCTGCTCGAGGCTACGAAGAGTACCAGCCCGAGCCACTCGACTCTCTGCAAAGAGAAGAGCTTCGCCGCAGGAACGAGGATCCCCTGCGTGTACCCATCGCAGGAGAAACCCCCGAGGCTCGTGCCTTGGAGGAGGCGCGTCTGGCCAATTTGGCCGAGCGCACTCGACTGGAGAACCTTCAGCGAGCACTCGACGAGCGCGCGCGGCAACGAGTACCCGACACCAGTCGACGACAACTCTTCCCGCCGACTCAGGTATATCGAACCCCAATTCAGAATTTAGCAGCTGCGACCCGTATAGCAGAGTCCATTCAGCCTTCGCAGTCAGAAGCTGGCAGAGGTTTGCTGCAGATCAGGGATCTGCTCCGGGCAGCAGGAGATCAGAATTCAGCCGTGTCTCAGTCGCGCAACAGAATTCATAGTCGATCTGTCACTGTGAATACGGTTCAGTCGGCTCACAGCCCCAGATCGCCTCCGCGGCGCGAAGGGCGTGAGAATCGACGAGATCAATATGGCGACAGACTCGACCGAGATGATAGGCGTCGAGTGCCCTATTCCCCTCCGAGGGGTGGGTCTTACGCTCCTCGGCAGCCAGATGATAGGCGTCAATACAGTACAGGGCGTAGGGTTCCAGTTGACCCCAGAGAGCCAGGCTTCGACGCGCGATCCATTATCGTGCAAGGATTGGTCGACCGGAACAGAGCCCATCGAGGTGCACTCGACAGAGATGTGCCCACGAGCAGTCGAGTACATGTTTCTGGTCCTGAATGTTTCAGCAGAGCTATCAGAGCCGCTGTTATCCCCCCCAATTTCAGGTTGGCAACAGGAGTCAGCAAGTTCACCGGTGAGTCTAAGCCTGAAACTTGGCTAGAAGACTACCGAGTGGCAGTTCAGATCGGTGGTGGGAACGACGAGGTGGCCATGAAGCATTTGCCCCTCATGTTGGAAGGTTCTGCCAGGGCATGGTTGACTCAATTGCCTCCTAGCAGTATTTACACTTGGGAAGATCTGTCCCGAGTGTTCGTCAGAACGTTCGAAGGGACTTGCAAGCGACCAGCGGGATTGACAGAGTTGCAAGTCTGCGTGCAGAAAACCAATGAGACTCTCAGAGAGTATATTCAGAGGTGGATCACTTTGCACCACACTGTGGAAAACGTCTCTGACCATCAGGCAGTATGCGCCTTCAAAGATGGTGTCAAGAACAGAGAACTGAGCTTGAAATTTGGTCGAACCGGTGACATGACCTTGAGTCGGATGATGGAGATTGCTACCAAGTACGCCAACGGCGAAGAAGAAGACCGACTCCGAAGCGGCAAGCACAAGCCGAGTCAGTCAGAAAAAGGAAATTCCAGTCGGAAACAGAAGCGGAAGGCTGAACCGGCAGCTCCTGGAGAGGCTCTGGCCGTGACTCAAGGAAAGTTTAAGGGGAAACCAAAAGGATCCTGGAACCCCAAGAAGGTGAAGGATAAAGAAGGGAACGACGTGATGGATATGCCGTGTCATATTCACACAAAGAAAGATGAAGAGGGGAATATCATTTACCCAAAACACACCACTCGCTAATGTCGACTCCTGATCCAGCAGTTTCAGGGAAAACAGTCTAAGGACAAGGAGAAGGAGTCGGACAAAGCCGAAGACAAAGAGGACAGTGAGGGAGGATATCCGCATATCAACTCCACTCTGATGATCTTCGCAGATGTGGAAAGCAGAAGTCGACTGAAAGTGATTAACCGAGAGGTTAACATGGTTGCCCCAGCAAAGGCAAATTATCTGAAGTGGTCTCAGACACCCATCACATTCGACCAATCTGATCACCCGACTCATATTGCCACCCCTGGGAGGCAAGCTTTGGTGGTCGATCCAGTTGTCGAAGGCACTCGACTGACAAAGGTGCTGATGGACGGTGGAAGTGGCCTGAATCTGTTATATGCAGACACGTTGAAAGGTATGGGCATTCCGATGTCCCGACTGAGCACTAGTAACATGAGCTTCCATGGAGTTATACCAGGGAAGAAGGCCGAGTCACTCGGCCAAATAACTTTGGACGTAGTGTTTGGCGATTCAAAGCATTTTCGCAAAGAAAAGTTGACGTTTGAGGTCGTGGATTTTCAAAGTGCATATCATGCCATTTTGGGGAGGCCAGCCTATGCACGGTTCATGGCTCGACCATGTTACGTGTACCTCAAATTGAAGATGCCCGGTCCCAAAGGTGTGATCACTGTCACCGGAGATAGGAAAAAGGCAGAGGAGTGCTTTCAGAAGGGCTCCAAAATTGCCGATTCCCAAGTGACAGCGGTCGAGTTCGAAGAATACAAGCAAAACGCAGATCCGAGTGACTTGCTGCGGTCCAAGAAGCCCGCCACAGAATCTGCATTCCAGTCGTCCGGTGAGACGAAGCCTGTTCACATTCACCCGACCGACCCCGAAGCAGCTCCGACCCGCATCTCCACAACACTCGACCCAAAATAGGAAGAAGCGCTCATCCAGTTCCTCCGTGAGAACTGGGACATTTTTGCATGGAAGCCCGCTGACATGCCAGGTGTTCCCAGGGGACTGGCTGAGCACCGCCTAAGAGTCGACAAGTCTGCAAAGCCAGTCAAAGAACATCTTCGGCGGTCCGCCGTCCAGAAGAGAAAGGCCATTGGTGAAGAAGTGGCTCGACTGTTGGCGGCAGGATTTATCCGAGAGATATTCCACTCCGAGTGGCTCGCTAATGTTGTCATGGTTCCTAAGAAGGACAAGTCGCTCCGAATGTGCATTGATTTCAAGCACATCAACCGGGCCTGCCCGAAAGATCACTTTCCTCTCCCTCGCATAGATCAAATTGTTGACTCGACCGCGGGATGCGAGAGGTTGTCTTTTTTAGATGCTTACTCCGGGTACCACCAGATCCGTCTGTATGGGCCCGATGAAGTAAAAACAGCTTTCATCACTCCATTCGGGTGCTTCTGCTATATCACCATGCCATTCGGCCTCAAGAATGCCGGAGCCACATTTATGCGAATGATCCAGAAGTGTCTACTCACTCAAATCAGTCGGAATGTGGAAGCTTATATGGATGATATTGTTGTCAAGTCACGAAAAGGTTCCGACCTGCTCGCTGACCTCGCCGAAACATTTGCCAACCTCAGAAGGTATGATATCAAGCTCAATCCATCAAAGTGCACATTTGGAGTTCCTGGTGGCAAGTTACTTGGTTTTCTCGTTTCCGAACGGGGAATCGACGCCAACCCAGAAAAGATTGGCACTATTCTCCGAATGAAACGCCCTGTGCGAGTGCACGATGTCCAGAAGCTTACTGGATGCTTGGCCGCATTAAGTCGATTCATCTCACGACTCGGTGAAAAGGCATTGCCTCTTTACCGACTGATGAAGAAGGCTGACAAGTTCGAGTGGACTCCGGAAGCTGATGCAGCGTTTGCCGAGCTAA